TAATATAATATATAAACATTTATACAAACACCAGAAGCTGAACTTGTAATTCTCTCTCTCTCTCTCTCTCTCTCTCTCTCTCTCTCTATATAACTTTCTCTCTTTCTCTCCATCTCCTTTCTTGCAGTATCATTCAATGGCTGCCCTCTGTAAATCCCCATTTCTTCTGTGCATTTCCTTCTCATTCTTCTTCATTCATTGCTCGGTATCAGCTTTAAATGAAGCTGATATCCTCCTTACCTTCAAGGCCGCCATTGATGATGCAAACAACTATCTCTCAACCTGGTCAAACACCTCTTCTCTTCATCACTGTAACTGGACTGGCATTGTTTGTAGTCCTTCACCTTCCCTCTCTGTTTTCTCTCTGAAACTTCAAAGCTTGAATCTTTCTGGTGAAATCTCTCCTTCAATCTGTGACCTTCCTAATCTGTCTTCCCTTGACCTTGCTGATAATCTTTTCAATCAACCAATTCCACTCCACCTCGCTCAGTGTACTTCTCTGCAGACTTTGAATCTCAGTAACAACCTCATTTGGGGAACAATCCCTGATCAGATTTCTCAGTTTGGTTCCCTTAAAGTTCTTGATTTGAGCAGGAATCATGTCGAAGGGAAGATCCCAGAAGGCATTGGTTCATTGGTGAACCTTAAAGTTCTTAACTTGGGCAGCAATCTGCTTTCAGGTACTGTTCCTTCTGTTTTTGGGAACTTGAGTGAGCTTCTTGTTCTTGATTTATCTTTGAATTCATATCTCGTGAGTGAGATTCATGGTGATATTGGAAAGCTAGAAAAGCTTGAGAGACTTTTATTGCAGAGCTCCGGTTTTCATGGCAAGATTCCTGAGTCTTTACTGGGTCTCAAAAGCTTGACCATTTTGGACTTGTCTCAGAACAATCTAACTGGTGAGATTCCTCAAGCTCTGGGTTCTTCTCTCAAGAATCTGATGTCTTTTGATGTGTCAGAAAACAAGCTTCTAGGTTCATTTCCTGGTGGAATTTGTACTGGTAAAAGCCTCATAAGCCTCAGTCTCCATACAAATTCTTTCAATGGTGTAATACCTAACTCCATTACTGAATGCTTGAACCTTGAGAGGTTTCAAGTGCAGAACAATGAGTTCTCTGGAGATTTTCCATCTGGGTTATGGTCTTTGCCAAAAATTAAGCTCATTAGAGCTGAAAACAACAGGTTTTCTGGAAAAATTCCTGGCTCCATTTCAATGGCTGCTCAACTAGAGCAAATTCAAATAGATAACAACAGTTTTTCTGGTGAGATTCCTCCAGGTCTTGGCTTGGTTAAGAGCTTATACAGATTTTCTGCATCTTTTAATGGTTTCTATGGTGAGCTTCCTCCAAACTTCTGTGACTCTCCTGTGATGAGCATCATTAGCCTCAACCATAATTCGATTTCGGGTCGAATTCCTGAACTGAGAAAATGCAGAAAACTAGTTTCTTTATCGTTAGCAAGCAATAGCCTAACTGGGGAAATCCCACCGTCTCTTGCTGATTTACCAGTCTTGACTTACCTTGACTTGTCTGATAACAATCTTACTGGTTCAATCCCACAAGGGCTTCAAAATTTAAAGCTTGCCCTTTTCAATGTTTCCTTCAATCAACTATCTGGTGAAGTCCCTTTCTCCCTGATCTCAGGGCTGCCAGCTTCATATCTGCAAGGAAATCCACGTCTTTGTGGCCCTGGACTGCCCAATTCTTGTGCCACTCAACAGCCAACACACCCTTCTAATGGCCTCACTGCGTTGACATGTGCCCTGATATCCATTGCATTTGCTGTTGGAACAATGTTGCTTGTCGCTGGATTTTTTGTCTTTCAACGATACTCGAAACAGAAAGCTGAATCGGGTGGTTGGCGTTCTGTGTTCTTCTATCCTCTGAGGACTACTGAGCAAGATTTAATGTTGGGAATGGATGAGAAGAGTGCTGTTGGAATTGGTGGGCCTTTTGGTAGGATTTACATTGTAAATTTACCAAGTGGTGAGCTTGTTTCCATAAAGAAACTTGTCAATTTTGGGAACCAGTCTTCAAAAACTCTCAAGGCTGAAGTCAAGACATTAGCCAAGATTCGACATAAGAACATCGTTAAAGTCCTTGGATTTTGCCATTCAAACGAGTCGGTTTTTCTGATCTACGAGTTCTTGCAGAAAGGGAGCTTGGGGGACTTGATTTGCAGGCCTGATTTTCAGTTGCAGTGGAGTGTTAGATTGAAGATTGCTATGGGGATCGCTCAAGGTTTGGCATACATTCACAAGGATTATGTCCCTCATTTGCTTCACAGAAACCTCAAGTCGAAAAATGTTCTTCTGGATGGCGATTTCGAACCAAAGCTCACTGACTTTGCTCTTGATCGGATCGTGGGCGAAGCTGCTTTTCAGTCAATAATGGCTACAGAATCTTCACAATCCTGCTACAAGGCACCAGGTATCAAAACCTACAATTGATTTTTTGAATTTCACACTGCCGTGCTTTCAAGAAATAGAAGAGCAAGCTCATATACATAACAAATTTAGAACAAGAAACTTTGGGAAAACCAAGAGAAAATTCTGTCCTGAAATTTAGACCTAGTTTGGCCTTTGCTGCTCAAGTCTCTTTTCTGCTTCCTTAATGTTAATTGTTGTGCAATATAGTAAATTAAGCAAGCACATAAAAATCTCATAAATAGCAGAAATTATAATTGTTATGAAAATTAATCTCAACTATGCACATAATTACACAAAGCACAAAACAAAATAAGAAAAAAACACAAGATTTATGTAGTCCGGCAGAAATGCCTATATCCACGAGAAAGATCGAGGAGTTTTTACATTACGATGATTAATGAGAGTCAAACACTAATAGAGGGTTGTAAATCCAATAGGGTTTTTTTTTTCGAAATACTTCCAGAATATACTTAAATATTCACAGAATAATTTTAGAATATATGCGGAATATTATCAGAATCAAGACATAATGCTAATGATCTACTCCACGGGAAAGAGGGAAGACTTGCTTCGAATAGTTCCTCCTTTTCTTTTATGAGTGATGAAAATATCCTGCATTTTTGAGGTCTCAAAACTTGGTAAATTCCTTGTTTGGGTTTCAGAATCTTGTTACAGCAAGAAAGCAACAGAGCAGATGGATGTTTACAGCTTTGGTGTAGTCCTATTAGAACTCATAACCGGGAGGCAAGCCGAGAAAGTCGAATCATCAGGCTCTCTCGATATCGTGAAGTGGGTTCGGAGGAAAATCAACATTACAAATGGGGCCGAGCAAGTTCTTGACTCAAAGATATCAAGTTCTTCCTCCCAACAAGAGATGCTAGCAGCCTTGCAGATTGCTCTTCTCTGCACTTCAGTGATGCCAGAGAAACGACCAGCCATGTCGGAAGTGGTGAGAGCAATTCAATCCCTCAGCCCCGGCAGCCACCTCCCGGAATTGGAGGTGTCATCCACCTCCGAGGAGCAGCATTTTCCGGTCGTTCCCATGTGAAGATCAAAAACTGAATGCTGCCCATATCTTTTTCGCTTTCTGTGATCTCTCAGCATGTAAATTCCATCTTGATTTTGCATATTTTACTTATCTTGTGATTGGATGAAAAAGAAAAATGCTTTTTTCCCCCCCTTGATGACTAAAGAATGTGTTTGGTTCTGGGGATGTGGTGTATGTTCTTCACCAGAAAATGCTTTGGAGGGTTTGAATTTTGAGTAATAGTAATAAAAGATTTTTATACTGGTGCTCGTAGTATTAATTTTAAATTGTAAAATTATAATTCTGTTTATATTTAAATTATATATTTGTTACAAATTATAAATTATTTGTTAATTATTTATTACATATTTAAATTGTACACTCAGAAAAATAAATTAATTATTTCTCTTGGCATATACTAAAAATTTATAGTAATTATATTAATTAAGAGAATTTAATTTATTTTTTTATTAAAAAAATAATAATTTTATTGAAATTTAGTTTGATCATTATAATTTTATTAATATATTATAAAAATTAAATATTATTATAAATTATTAATTCTGTGATTATGACGATTAAAATGGTTTAATTTATATTAAATATTTTTTATTTAAAAAAATAAAAAATTTATTAAAATTTATTTTAATTTAATCATTATAATTTTACTAATATATTAAAAATTAAGTTCTTAATTTTATTAAATTAAATATTATAAATTATTAATTTATTGTAATTATATTAATTAAAAAATATTTTTTTATTTAAGAAATAATAAATTTATAATTTTAATAATATATTAAAAAATAAATATTTTATTAAATCAAATATTATAAATTAATCGTAATTTAATTCGTCTACAATACACTCAAATAGGACGATGACTTGCCGTCCCAATTGGGCCGCCCAAAAGAGAAGGGCCTCTCAAACCCATCAGCCATCAGATGAGAGCACCACGGTAAGATCGTAGACTCTCATCTCAATAATCGACGGTTCAGATGCCACTTTACTACTCCATTCGTGAAACTTCCTGTAGAGAAGCACCCACCAGATCGTCCCGGCGGGAAATCAGTAAAGAGGAGTCCGAAATGGCGGGAAGAAATCGAATCTAAAATGCTCTCTATAAATACAGAACTGCTATAAACCTTCTGTCGAGTTTCAATTTGGTGGTGAGCAAGAACTGTGGTAATAGATTTCCTAAATCGCGGCTAAAATGGGCAAGAGAAAGAAAACTAGGGTTTCTCGCGAACAAGAAGACGTAGAAATGGAAAAAGAAGAAGATGTGCAACATCAGAAGGATGGCAATCAATCTTCTCCAACTGAGAAGAGTCTGTATGAGGTATTACTGAATTTACTAGATTTTGCGTTGTCGGTTTCCTTTTAGAGTTTGCTTTATGCTTGATTGTGGTTATGGTATGAATCGTCCTAAAATGAGGATTAGGGTTTTGGGGTCTGTTTTATATGTGAGGAATATTTGGTACCTCGACCGGTTTCCGTTGCAATTTTAATTTTTGAGTTAGCGATTGGATTGGTGTTGGGTTAAATTTAGTGCTTTACTTTTTGAATAAGACTGGCAATTTGGTTATCTGTTTGCTTGATCTGGATAACTATGCAGCCTTTAATACGTAAAGATTGGTTGACTGATGATACATTTTTTTTTTCATGGACATAAAATATTTTTATGAAATAGGAACTAGTGGCAATTGAATGCAGATATGTTTTGAATTCTTTTGTGGAGAATCTAGGCAAAAAATTTTAAAGCCAGCTTTAGTTCAAATTTACATGCATGATTCAGGAAATTTAGCTGCTTTGTATTTGCACTTGTTAGGTTAGTTTTAGTTTGAGGAGGAAGAAGTTAGAACTAAATGGAAAAAAAAAGGTAATAGGTGTTGGACCTAAATGCTTTATAAAATTACTTGTGTTAGGTTAAGTTAATTTTTATTGCGAATTCAAACTTTGATCTTTGTTCTTGATATGGTCAATCTGTACGAAAAGTTCCCTAGGAATGAATCGTGTGGGATTGATGATGTGCTTTATTTTTACTAGCTTAGCTATTTTTATGCTTTTTTGCTTAAAGAGGTTCCATTTGAATGTGTAGCCTTATCTGCTTAATGTGCTGTATATTCAATCCAAGTTTGCAATGGTACCTCCATACTGGTTTATAGGATTCGTGGGGAGAAGTTATTTTTCAAGTCCAGCAGGATATTGAAATATGGATTTCCCCCTACATGATGAATGTGCCTTTTGTAAATGTTCTCTTGCTATTGATCTGTCAATTTATCTATTGCTGCAGAACACCATTCTCTAATGCATGGTTTAATTTTCTAGAACTATTTGTATATGCTGTTCCTGTCTCCTGTCTTAAACTTCTCCTCAGTTTGCTGTTTTGTCCTGAGCAGCATTCCCAGTCAATTATTTTGGATTCTTGTAGGTTCTTGGTGTTGAAAGGACAGCATCTCAACAGGAAATAAAGAAAGCATACTATAAGTTGGCTTTGCGACTCCATCCTGATAAAAACCCTGGTGATGAGGTGACAGTTGATTGTTCTTTATTTCATTGTTTTATATTCTGAAATTCCTTCAGCAGGATCTGATTCAAATCATTCACACTTCATATAGGAAGCTAAAGAGAAATTTCAGCAACTGCAAAAGGTGATGACAATCCTTGGGGATGAAGAGAAGCGGGCACTATATGATCAAACTGGATGTGTTGATGATGCTGTGAGTGACTTTCTAAAATCTTATCCTTGAAGTTAGTGGTTTGAATGATTATACCCTGGTAATGATGCATTCCATTATTTCCATGTGTATAAAAGTTTACCAAGTTGCCTTATAAACTTGAAAGTGGAAATTCTTGGACTATATGTGTTATCTCACAATTTATAACATTGAGAAAATGTGGTTGTAGATATTATTTCTTCACATGTAGAAAATCTAGTACTTACTATGTTAAGTGATACATTTTAATTGCTATGTAGAACAAAAGGAGCCGCTCTATTTCTTTAGAAGATTGAATAATTTCTTTGTTAATGAAGCATATCTTTTTTTTTAATCAGGACCTTCTTGGGGATGTTCAAAACTTGCATGAATATTTCAGAGCAATGTACAAGAAGGTAATATTATTTAGACACGATAATTTTCCTCAAATCAACAGCACATTTGCATTTGGTTTGCAATTCATTGTGATTCTTCTAGTTCAGGTCACTGAGGCAGATATTGAGGAGTTTGAAGCAAACTATAGAGGATCTGATTCAGAGAAGAAAGATTTGATTGGGTTGTACAAGAAGTGCAAGGGTAAAATGAAGAGGTAAAATAGCAGTATATATATCAGCCTGTGCTCTTTCGGATTATTAGAATGATGTTAAGATTCTTTTCCTTCTCTTTCAGGCTATTCTGTTCAATGCTTTGTTCAGACCCGAAGCTTGATTCCCACCGTTTCAAGGATATTCTTGATGAGGCAATTGCTGCCGGTGGGAGTTTGTTTTAGCCATGATAATGTTCCTCAGAATTTTGTCATTTCAACAATTTATTAAAAATTATTGGAACAATGATTGGATTTTGAGTCAAATTGCTCTAACGTAGAGCAGTTGTGAGTTTTCTCAGTGCTTACAACATTTTTTCTTTTTTCTCCTTTTTCTTTGCCTTCTCTTGCGTAGGAGAACTGAAATCAACCAAAGCCTATAAGAAGTGGGCAAAGCAAATATCAGAAATAAAACCACCTACCAGTCCTTTAAGGAAGAGGGGAAAGTAAGTAGTGTATCATAGGTTTTCTTTTTTGGCTTAAAATTAGAATTTGTTGTGTGAAATAAGTATTCTTTTTTATGATGTGCAGGTCAGGTAAACAACCAGAAGCAGATCTATTAGCTGTTATATCTCAGCGAAGAAATGAAAGAAAAGATCGGTTTGATTCAATGTTCTCGTCACTTCTGTCGAGGTACGGTGGCAAGGCTGGATCCGAACCTACAGAAGAAGAATTTGAAGCGGCACAGAAGAAAGTTGAGAGCCGCAGGGCTTCCAAAAAGTTGAAGCAAAAATGACCTTCACAATTTACTAGCGGCACTAGAATTTTTGTACAAAATTTTCAATTCTGCAGGCACAGTGGAAGATAGTTCTGTTTTCAGTTATTTATTTGCGGGTATTTGATTGGATTTGCAAGAACAACCTTCTTTGCTGTAAAAGATTTCGGAGACGGTACCCAGAATGGCAGAGTTGACAGCAAAAACAACACTATTGTCTGGTAGGTGAGTTGGGTTACCCTCCTCTCTGTTACGACTACGATATCCAAACAATTCTGGAAAACGTTGATGGCTAGTTGGTAAGTAATTGTCTTGAACAAAGATGGGCGGTGATGTTTGATGTTTGATCTGTTTGAGAGTTACTTGGATCTTGCTATAGTCCTTAGAACTCAGTAATTGTTAGTTGATTTAGGAGAACAAGTGTTATTGGTTTGTCTTAAATATCTTTTGGGAGACTTCAAATTTATCCTTGAAATCAGAAGGGCCCTAAACTTTTAGGGTTCTAAAGTTCTCACGTGTCCTAGTTGGGTGTGATCTTATGGTCCTCCATGGTTGCAATTCTTGGTGAGCATAGTGGGACAAAGTTGATGCATTTGTGGGTGTGGGTAAATGGTCCAACACAGATCCTCCCAAATACTATTAGGTTTTCTGAAAATTGAATGTATATGCTAGTGGGGTTGAACAATCAGAGGTTGGTACCAGGATCAGACAAATTTTGACTGTGTCCCCATATGAAAATTTTTGAGAAAATTTTATTTATGTAATAAGATGAAATAACTTTAAATTTCCCATTTATTTATTTATTTAATTTACCCAATAATTAATTCATTTAGATATATATACAAACACCATTGACACAGAGACATGATAATGTAAAATTATAGCATGAATCTTTTCCCAATTTACCCATCATCAACTTTTGCCATGATTGTAATGATGTCCTATCATATGAGCATCCAATATCTATTAATCATTCAATATCAACAACTAGAGTTGTACTATATAATTCATGATTTGGCAAAAAAAATACATATATATATATATATACATGTATATATAAATTCAAACATATTCGTTAGTATCTTTATATATATTTTTTTTAAATTACGATTTCTAACTTTATTAAAAATACAGCGACCGTTATTTTGTAAATTCATTATAGATTGATAATTACTGTTTTATAATATTTAATTTAATAAAACTGATAACTTACTTTATTGGTGTGTTAATAAGATTACGTTGACGAAGTTGAATTAAATTTTTACGAACTTATTATATTTATAAATAAAAAGAATATTTTACGAGATAACTTGAATTTGATATTATCTTCTATTATAGCACAAAAAGTAATTTAATGAAAGAAATTGATATTCTCTTTTAAAATTACGATTTTGAATTTTATTAAGAATACAGAAATTGGTATTTTATAGACGCATTATATATCGATAATTATTATTTTATAATACTTGATTTAATAAAATTGATAACTTATTTCACTGATGTGTTAATAAGATTAAGTTGAAGAAATTGAATTAAATTTTTACGAACTTATTATATTTATAAATAAAAAGAATATTTTACGAGATAACTTGATTTTGATATTATCTTCCGTTGTAGCACAAAAAGTAATTTAACGAAAGAAATTGATGATTGCACACAAATAAAGTTGCATATAATTAAAAATATTTTTTTGAAAAAAAAAAAGAAGTTTTAAGGCCATCCATGGTGTTCCCAAAAGCCAGCCGAAGATCCCAAACACTGTCTTACAACACATTCTGGAAATTTTATTTTAAAAGCTTTTTCATAAGATAATTTTATATAAAGGATGGTGACATCACAACAATATGCTATACACGAAAACATTCTCTCCCCTCCCTAATATATATATATATATATATATACACATAATATATATATACACACACACATGTATGTATATACATACTCTGAGAGAGAGAGAGAGAGAGAGAGAGAGAGAGAGTATGATCTCCCATGAACCTGCAAATGCAAGGCTTTTGCCTTTCCCTTTGGTTTTCCTTTCGATTCTGTCACTTATACAGTTTGTCCTTAATATATATATATATATATATTATGGATATATATATGTTATATATATATATATATATTTTATTAATCATTTTTCTCTCTTTCATTTATTGGTGGGTAATCAATTCTCCAGTTAAACTATTCTTATCATACATGTGTGTGTATTATATATAATATATGTATCTATTTATATATATAGTTCTCATTTTATTATTCTCTAGATTCTTATACTGATTGGTTTAGCAAGTTAATACAGATATAGAAAGTTATATATATATATATATATACACTCATTTTTGCCAACTTTACTTAATTAAATTAGCTACCCTTTACACTTTTTTTTGGGTACAAATAATAAATAAATATTACTACTAACATACACTAATTTATATTATATTATAAAGTTATAAATACATCATTTTTCTAAATAAAATATTATAAATTTTAAATTAAATTATATTTTCTGTAGTTTTTATTTAAATATTATTCATAGTATGTTATTATTGTTATGTGTGTATTATTCAAATTCCTAATAGATAAAGTTACTTTAAATAAAACTTGTGCGTATAATTTCGAAATAAAATCTGTAAGATATTTGGATTAGTTCCAAACATGGCCTAAGCAAACCCAGCTTAACTAGCAGAGTACTGGTTTCACTTTCTTCTATTTGATTTTTATTCTACCTTCCAGCTCTCTGCATAAAAGTCATCATTTAATTCTTAATTAATCTTGTTTATACAGTTAATTAGTGCTAATGTTGCTTTTGGTTGATTGATCTCTTCTCCCACCTCTCTCTTTCTCTCTCTCTCTCTCTCTCTCTCTCTCTCTCTCTCTTTTATATTCTCAGTGTAATCCCATCATTATAGAATATATTAGCTTCACTCAAATTCATAGCAACTAACTATAAGATTACTTCAAAACCATTCTTCAAGAGCTTCAACCTTGTAATTTCTTCTATGTTCTCACACACTATTTTATATTACTTTAGCCTCACACTCACTGGATTTTTATCGTCTATCTTTCTGGGTTTTTTTTTGGGGGGGGGGGGGGGGCGCTGAAATACGATCCTAATTCGGTTGGTTCTATCAGGCTGCTTGGATCTGCAACTGAAACTGGGGTTTTACTTCACTCTCTGCAGGGTTGGTACTTGAACTGTGAAACCTCTAATGGAGACTGACAATGGCGGTGATGATGCCAAGTCCAAGCTTGAAGACTATGAAGTTGTAGAGCAGATTGGTAGAGGGGCGTTTGGTTCTGCTTTTCTTGTACTTCATAAGACTGAGAAAAAGAAGTAAGATACGGCTTAATTTCTTCTTTTTTCTTAACTTTCTCTTTCTTTGTTTGGGTTTATTGAAATTCAACTTTGTGGATCTTCATTTAGAGCAAAAACCCTTCATAACTATTCAATTGGTTGGTCGTTTGACTCATTTCTCGACAAGCTTTTGACCCACCAGTAATGCCAATTAGGAGTTGAGGAGAAAATAATTAATGGGTCTTTTTATTATTCTGGTTTTCTTGTTAGATGATCAATTTTCAAGGATATAAACCAGAAAATTTCTGTTTTGCTGGCTGAATTTGATTTTTGTGTTCTGGGTTGAAGCTATTTTATTGAATTCTTGATTCTACTATTTGATCAAGTTACTGACTTTTAAAGTTTGATTTTGGAGGCTGTTGGCATGAGTTGGTGTTAAGAAATTATTTAAATTCCAGCTTTCTTTTTGTGGTTGCTATGGATTTTCTTCTGCTGTGTTTAGGTATGTGCTCAAGAAGATTCGTTTGGCCAAGCAAACGGAGAAGTTCAAGCGCACAGCACACCAAGAGGTCATTTCTTTGCAAGTTCACAATCATATATTTCCTAAAATGTTAGATGACTTTGTGAGATTTTCTGGGTTTCTTTCACCTCATTCAATAGGGAATATGTCTTTATTTAAGTGGTCTAGGGAATTGGGATTTATTGTTGTATGTGCAGCGCTT